GTCCACCACTGCTTGATCACTAACGTGCCCCAAAGCACGACAGGTCCCAAATCCAGCGTTGTGACATTCTCGTGGTGATTGACGGACGCCCCCTTCCCCACAGCTGCAACACTCACGACACACTTACAGCAGATTTGGGAAGGTGGTGTCACACTTGGAGCCTTGTCGTCGGGAACAGTTAAGCAGATTGAGACCTCTCGCTCTTTGGACCATCTGGAAGAGACACTGCCAGGAGACCCCATTGACAGACTGCAGCAGTCGGGTGAACAGGTGTAGGGGGAGCCACTTCTTCCGCTGGATATGGAGTACAGGTCCGAGTGGGCCGAGCTCCAACGTGACAGGAGTAGCAACCCGGAGAAACCACAGGTGCTCCTAACTGACTTTACCACAAGAATTTTGGGTGGACTGCAGGAAGGATAGGCACGGTGGTTGGAGACAGGCTCTGCTGCACCTGGTGCACCAGGGTGCCCACCCCGGGCCCGGCGGAGCAAGCCACAGAATCTGTTTACAGCCAACTGCTGGTTTTCGACGGGTGTTTTGGCGTCCCCTTGAGGCACTAAGCCCCCACGAGAGCCTGGGAGGGGAACGGGCATGAGGGAGACAGGATATAGTACGTGATTGGAGTAGGACCCTGAAGGCGTCATGGCCACCAGAAACACAACAGGAGGGTGGGGATATACGTAAAAGACAGGGGCGGCAGAGTGGCCACTGTCTCAGGATTTCTCGGTCATAACGGGGAGAACTGTGACAGAGTGCACCTGTTTTTTTTTTTTTTTTTTTTTTTTTTTTTTAAGGGACGCTGGACTAGGTTTCCAGCTATAATACAAGTCCAAAGGCCCATCCCTCCCATTTAAGGAGAAGGGTTGCTAGGGATCCACAGGGTTTTGACCATTTGTAGGACCTCTGTGGTGGCATGTTTTGTTGTGGGCAGACCCTTTTTTCTGTAGTTTGTCGTAGTAATTTTCTAAGTAGCTCAAAATTCTCTCAAAGTTCTCTCAGTCAAAGCTGGGTACTGGCCCCAGTATCTCAGATTTTCAAAAAAAAAAAAAGAAAAAAAAAAAGAAAAGGGAGGTGGAGATGTCAATCTCCAGAGTCGGCTTACTTCTTAATAATATGCATACATCGCATAGTCCTTGTCTGCAGATATCCCAATGGCATGACAAAGGAGGGAAAAGCCATTCCAAGATTATCAGCGCCGCTGGTTGCAAAAGCCTTATTATTGTTAGGACGGAGCTGGTCCACTGTTTGCAGTCGAGATTCCGGCAGCAGGGGTGAGTGTGGTATACATCATTCCTGCGGCAGGGAAGCAATCAATGCCGTCGCCTCCGGGTCCCTTGACCATAAGGAAGGGAAGCGTGGAGCGAGTCCGGAGTCCGTGAATATAAGGGATGCTGGGCCCAGTTTCCATCTTTTCGAATAAAAAGTTATGTTCAGAAAAAAAAAAAAAGGAGATGGCACGGATAGCTACAGGATTCCATGGTTGATGTCATGACTCCCTGTTAAACCACCAGTACTTGGCCCAGCTATCGGCCGCGGAAAAAATAGAGTAGAAACGTTTCTAGTTGGATGAATTTGGGCGCTCCTGTAGTGGCCCGTACGTTTCTTAAAATCGCGTAGCGTTAACAGGCACGACTTTCGGAAGTACTGGTGGTTTAAGTACGTTCATGTCACTTTTGAGTATCGAATGAGCCAAAAAAAACACGCGTCGGCAAAGAAAGCCACGCCGAGTTCGAACAGGCAACAGAGGTACCGACGGGCGTGATGTCAGACTGGGTGTCATATTTACAAGGGTCGGCTGTAATGTCAGAGGGGAAAAAAAAAAAAAAAAAAAAAAAAAAAGCCCAACTGATACTTTCGGACCAGAATTGCTGATTTTCGCATTGGCGCATGATCTCTTTGCCGACACGAGTTTTCTTTGCCTTCAGGGATTCTAAACATCCCATGTGTCTTCTTTTTTTTTTTATGAGACCAAGCTGCGTTGGCGCATGAATCTTTTCCCTTTTCATAAAAAGTGGAAAGGTAAAGTAAATACCGTATGGGCAACGTGAGTCCAAATCGCTCAATGGGAGACTGATCAAACTCCAACTGCAGAACAATACATACTGAAACTTTCTTCTTCTTCTTTTTTTTTTTTTTGAGAACTTGGTCACCTTTATTTACCAATAAGTTCAATATCAGAAGTTCAGAAGAGGGCAGGGACCTCACAATTGAACCTGGACGAACATACTGGGCCCATTCCCCAGCTTCGGCAGAACTGGAAAACCGGGTCCAGTGTCCCGTTTACTCAAAATCTATTATCTCAAAAGAAGCTTCGAAAAAAAAAAATCCCCCTGAAGCGCAGTTAAAAGGTGTGAATACACTGAATACCTTTTTACAGCGCTATAAAAAAAAAAAAAACGGTACGAATACCTGTCCAGCAACCTAAACCGATCTCAAAATTCAAATGCATTTCCGAATGTGAAGCACCAGAGCTGAGAAACCAGCTATCCTTTTTTTTTTTTAAACACGCCCCCACCAGTGTTATCCGTATTGGATTGTAATCTTAAGTATGTGGAAGGTAGGACGAGAATTCCACGACGATCTGCAGAGACCGACGAGGCAGAGTAGCGGAGCGGGGCACAAAGATGTAAAAGGTGACTGAAACTGTGTTAGTCCCCGGGCGGTCGGGGGAAGGGCGCCCGGGTACCCTCCCGGGCGCCCCAGACCGGGCAGGGCCCAGACACGGTCCCGGGTGATCCCAACGCATTATATTTATTAAAACAAAAAAAAATAAAATTTAAAAGAATCCGGAAAAAAAAAGTACCGTGTGTAAAATTGCAATACAAGCGACTTTTGGCTGACGGCCACCTCAAAAATGTTCGGCTTTTTTGGGCCTTGATGGTTTTCTTTTTCCCAGGGTTGGGATGAGTCAGGGCAGCGGTCTAGATTTGACCATTCTGCTTCTAGACCATAATGTCCCAAGGCCTGCACCTAAGCTGGGTAACGGTCCCAGTATTTGTTTTCTTCCAGGTTGTTTGTTCAGGATTTCCCGGCCTCTCTTTTGTGTGGTAATAACAATGGGCAGAGTTTAGTTAAAAAAAAAACATCTAGATGTGTATAAGAGACAGTCTCCGCACGTGCCCTCCACACGTGCGTCACACAA